ATTAGGATAACAAGTGGTTAATGATTATTTACATTGCCAATTTTGTTAAGAGTCTTATAGCCTTTAGGCCAAACTGAATGTTCTTAACTTTCTTGCTGAAACTCAACCAGCTACTCCTGACATCTTTTTCAAGAGTTCCATTTACAGAACATGAATGATTGAGAGACCCCACAAAAGGTCACCACAGGTGGCTCTACTGTGATTTCTTTCTTCTTGTGACATACCTTATTAGGAAGTGTGAGAGAAAGAATTGGCCATGGAGAGAAGGAAGTGGAAGGCATATGGCAAAGTTGGAAGAGGCAAAGAATTCAGAGAGAAAAAGGGATGTTTAAATGGTGGGTTACCATGCCTGTCACAATAGCTATATAACAAAAGGAAGAATTATTTTTCTCTATGAAAGATTAAAAATGCACCAGAGAAAAAGAATAACCTAAGAGTCATAACTATTTGTGACATTTATTTTTTAGCAAAACAGTAACATAAGATTCAGTAGGTGCAATATATTAAATGATGACCAACCATTTAATGATTCCATTAAATAGTCATAATTCTCTAAATGGAGAATAAAAGTATGTAGTAACTAAACTTATGCTCAGAATTTAAATTCTGTCTCAGTTATTATCCTAGAGAAAAAGAAATCATGTAGAAACCTTTTTCAGGCCCTGTGACATATAAACTTTCAACTCTAAGCACTAAATTAGGTTCCTCCCCATTTTCCTACCCCCTCACACTTTTTCTTCCTTCTTTCCTCTCTCACTAAATTTTTATCTTCTTTTCCCTAAGATTTTCTCTTTTCAAATTCAGTTATATTCAATGCATCCTTTAGGAAGCATTCTATCACTCTTCTACCCAGATCTTTAGCTTTGTCCATATCATGAATATGTTGATATGCGTGTGTCTGTGTGTCTTTAGTTAGTATCTCTAGTCATATTTTATTTTATAGTTTAGAAATAAGCTTTGAGTGCAAATCAGAAAATGAGGTTGTTTCTTTAAAATACTTTGAATGCCGCACTTGAAAAAAAATTTTTCCCTGCGGCCACAACATTGTATTAAAACAAAACGATCCTTTCTAATTTATTATTATTTTTTTTCAAATCAAAAGTATAGTTTAATATATCTCAAACAAGAAGTGGTACAATTAATCAAAGTACACACTTAAACTATCGACATGGTTTTGCCTAGATTCTAATGGTAGCTTGTTTATGCCAGCAGCAAAGAAGGCTAGAAAGTGAGCAGCGATGATATCACCAAAAGCATTTTCCACAGCTTGTTGAGAATTGAATATTTTTCCTTGCAAGAAGTGGTCCAAAGCATGGAAGAAGTGGTAGTCAGTTGGTGTAAGGTCTGGTGAATATGGTGTTTTTTTATGGTTTTCTGTGCATGAGTTATATGCAATGGAATCCACGTTTTTAGAATTAAATTGTCAATATTAATTGTAACAATAAGAAGATCAACCTGTAATGTTTTCAGAACCAACAGCAGGGTTTTGCTTCATGCTGCCCTGGATTCAAAACTAGCCTGAGTTAAATACAACTCTCATTGCAGTCAATGTGTTAAGTGTATCTAACTGAAGTTAAATATTTTTCACCCTATGCAAACATTTTGAATCACTACTAAGTTTGATATTCTTCAACATGTCTTTTGTAAGATCATTGGGATTGCAATGTAAGATCATTGGAATTGCAATTATCGTATTTCCTATAATCATATTTACGAAAATAACCTGAAAATGCTGAAAAGAAAACCAAAGTTACTTATTTATTAACAAAGATTATTTGTTTGGTGGAAATATCCTTTCCTAGCTGGGTTAGGAATTTTTTTCAATTA